GAAATGATTGCGTGCTAAGGTTATATAAGACTTTCAAAACGTACAATCACTCCGCGAGCTGCCGCCGGAGTTAGCACTCTACGAATCGCTAACAAGTGGGGGCAGATATTTTGTAGTGCCCAGGTGATTCTAGGATCGCTAGGAAGTGGGGGCAGAGATAGACAATTTGTGGAGCCCAGGTGACTCTACGGATCGCTAGCAAGTTCGGGCAGATAATAGAGCGTGACCCTAAGGATCGCTAGCAAGTGGGGCAGATACAGATATTTGTAGTGACCAGGTGACCCTAGGACCGCTAGTTAAGGGGGCAGACAATAGAGCGCAAGTGACTCTAAGGATCGCTAGCAAGTGTAGGCAGAGATAGATAATTTGTAGAGCCCAGGTGACTTTACGGATTGCTAGCAAGTGGGGGCAGAGACAGATATTTTGTAGTGCCCAGGTGACCCTAATCGCTAGCAAGTGCGAGCAGATAATAGAGCGTGACTCTAAGGATTGCTACCAAGTGGGGGCAGATGAATCGTATTGCCTAAGTGACCCTACCTGTCGCTGGTAGAATAAGGCTCAGGTTGAGGCACAGATATTTTCATAGCGTCAATCTTTGCACACATTGTTCTCCCATTTTGGTCGTTGAGAACTCACACCATCACGAAAATGTGCACATCTGATGTTTGGAAGATACAATCGGTGTTGAGTTTGAACAGATTAGTGCAACGATCCAAGAGTAACTATTCATGGAAACAACTCTCCTCGCACTTCAGTTGAGCTCTCTCAAAGTTCCTTTCAAAGACTTCTGCAGAGAAATGCTCTACAAACTTGGTTTTCCTCTATTTCTATGGAAGTTTTCTCTAAAAGTAGTAGTTGCCTGTGAACTACTACGAGAGTAACCCAAATTCTGATTAGGCCTAAGGCATACTTCGCGCGATTTCGTCAAATCACTACATCCACGCGACTTGGTAGTTTGCCAGATATTTACAGATCAATCGTGTGCGGGTCCTAAGTGCGTAGGCGCGTAGCTACCGTAAGTTATAGCAAAAGCATTAAGTCTGGCCCATGCAAAGCTCGCTAACGGCCAGTTACGAAGAGTCGCTGCAGTGCCAGATAGCGCAGCGACTGGAATCGCGTGAAGTATGCCTTAGGCTTTACAAATCGTGTAGTTTGGCGATGTCCAGACAACGTCGAGGTTTGAGAATATTTTAATAGAATTTTCTTGCAACAAAGGCGTTCGGCTTGAAGTTCCGCCAAATCTTTGGCAAGTCCGCAGTTATCCTAAAGTCTTTCACAAAGTTCTCTGAGCCGGTCGGTTTTCCGGTATTTTAAAATCGCTGCAAAATTGGACATTTACAATGCAAAAACCTTTGATAAAATTATTTCACATCCTTTCCTAGAATCTTACCACTATTTCTGGCTTTGGGTAACATATTCACCTCTTATCGAAACATTTTGAAAAGCCCTTCAAGTCCAATTTTCCAAAAGATTGGTTTAAGATTTCTACAAATGACGAACCTTTGCAAAAACTGTGCCTAGAAATGACTCGTTTCCATTTTCAGTGTCTGCCAAATTTATTAGGTCAGTGTAAAAGTTTTGTCAGTTCAATGCAGCAGCCGGCAGAATGAAGATAAACAAACACTGCATCTTGTTCCGATGCAGAATTTCTCCCTCTTTCCAGCTGCTGTATCCCCAGTGTGATTCATTGCGAGAGTGCTGCGAGATCGTTAGAAATAACAACTTTTAATTTCCATGTCCAACTTGCACTAATTTTTGAAATCTTCACATGAGACTTCAGGAAACATGTTGATAGCAGCCTTTGTCAATCAAAGCAAATTTTTTATAGCCCTGTGGCTTGTCTTTCAGAATTTCCAAAACTAATTTTCTGAAGTAACAAAATTTCATAAGCGGCATGTTTCGACCTCGTAAAACACGAAATGGTCAACAGTTCAAATACAACTTAATGTAACTTTTTCGTCTCTTTCTATAGTTGTCTCATAGCGGGACACGCCAAATTTGCGGACAAAACGGCAGTATTTTGCAGTCACGAGTGCGCACTGACGTATCCTAAGTTCAGCATCTTCATAATTTAAAGCGGAAATCATCATTTACTTTGTAAAGTTAGTAATAACAGTAATGTGTTGGAACCTCAGTATTTTGAAGACTTCACATTTTTTGTAGCAATAACAGGTTATGCTGTTTTTCCAAAACTCGAGACTTTTGGAAAGCATTTAGCAAAATTCTAAATCTAAAATAGTAGCTGAAAAAGAGAGGGAAAATTGCTTCGGCTGGCAAAGAGTTTGCCCGGGCCCCGGGCGGAGCCGGGTTTGCTAACTAGTAGAATGATAAAGATGTTCCTGTGTTTTATTTTTAGGTTTTCTTATAGCTAGTTATACCTACATATTGTTTTTAACACTCACCGCAAGTAAGACAATGTACTAAATTTTCAGATTCACAATATGAGCAGAGGTGCGATAGTCGGAGCCGAGCCTCCGCCTATCTTCACTTTTGAGCTGGTACGGGGTGACCACCTTCACTTTTGGGTTTGAAAATTTTTTCTGAAGCTTAAAATGCAAAAGAAAGTATTGAGAGCATATATCTATGTAGTAAGTCGATCTAGGCAGTGACCGTCGAGAACCAGAATTTTGAATAATAAAATAACGATAAATTATGCGAAATCTCCACTTTTATCAATCTTGTGGTTGAAGATGTCAGCAATTGCGACTTCATAGTTTTTGAAGGGCAAGTGCTGCTCTACGAGATAGTGAAAGAATTAGGTCGATTTGAGCAGTGGCCGCCGAAAACGAGAATTTTAAAAAATTAAGCGATTTTAGGTTACTTAGTGACAGCTGACGTTCAGACTCCTATGAATCTGGAATGTGAAGGTGTGCAATGTTGCGACTTCATAAGTTTTGTAGAGTAAGAATTGCTCTATCGGAATATGCCTTAGCGGTACTGATCCATCAAGATATCGTCGAGATCTAGGCTCTTAAAAAACAGGTGAAAAACCGCTTTTTGGATTTCAACAGTTCATAACTTCTTCAGAATTGCATAAATTATGTTGCGACTTCATAGGTTAGATTCTTCTCATCAAGAGCTTTCAGACGATATATAATATGTGGGGTTCAATGATTCTTGCGGCTCTAACTCAGGGTGGAGACTTTTCACCCCAAAGTCTCCACCTCGCCCATGTTAATGTATTGGCCGGAGACCGCCAGTGGAGACTTTGGGGTGAAAAGCCTCCACCCCCGGGCATATGCCGTGAGAGGCGCGAAACCCCCACATATTATATATCATCTGAAAGCTCTTGATAAGAAGAATCAACTTGTGAAGTCGCAACATGATTCATGCAATTCTGAAGAAGTTATGAACTGTTGAAATCCAAAAGCGGTTTTTCACCTGTTTTTAAGAGCCTAGATCTCGGCGATATCTTGATGGATCAGTACCGCTAAGGCATATTCCGATAGAGCAATTCTTACTCTACAAAACTTATGAAGTCGCAACATTGCACACCTTCACATTCCAGATTCATAGGAGTCTGAACGTCAGCTGTCACTAAGTAACCTAAAATTGCTTAATTTTTTGAAATTCTCGTTCTCGGCGGCCACTGCTCAAATCGACCTAATTCTTTGACTATCTCGTAGAACAGCACTTGCTCTTCAAAACCTATGAAGTCGCAATTGCTGTCATCTTCAACCGCAAGACTTATAAAAATGGAAATTTCGCATACAAAATTCTGGTTTTCGGCGGTAACTGCCTGGATCGACCTACTTCCTTCGCAGTACGTTATAACAAAATTTACTTCATAAAATCTGTAAAGTCTCGCTGACTTTCACTTCAAAACACACCATTTACTAAACACGTTTATTTTAAATATACATATATGCCGCCGTATAAAATAAGAATATGCTTTCAAAAATCTTTTTTGTTTTCAATAATCTTTTTTGCGTTTGTTTTGCTTATTTTCCGCGCACTGGCGGCAACGACCTGGAAGGATAGGCTCAGTCGACGTTGACGCTCTCCCCCCCCTCCCTCCCGGTCGACGTTTTGGGAGGTGAGTCTCCGGCACTACCACCTTCACTTATGGCCGGCCAGTGGTAGCTGGAACCATCTTCACTTTTGGGCCCGGCTCACCTATCGCACCTCTGAATATGAGTGTACGTTGACACAAGTATTAATGAGACCAGTAACTGAAGATTGTATGTGTTATTATCTATAACATATCAATATTTGCAATTAATTTTACATTTATCTCATCTATTCGTGTTTCCTATGCTATCTAGTATATGCCCTCGTTCTCCATCCCTACATTTGAAGAATGTGTTAGCCGATAATAATTAGAACAACTTGCACTGACATTTTGCGCTGACCTTAAAATCTAACCGAACCAGAATATCTATTATCTAGTAATGGCAGATTCGGTGGGGATGTTATCAGGGTTCTGGCAAACCCTTGATTCTATAAAACATTTGTTGTATATTTTAGGCATAGATTCACTCTTCCGGAGGCATGGGAGCCACCACTCCGTGCCGGCTACCGACTTATATTGACCCAACCAAAAGTCTTCTTTTTTTTGAAGAGGGCAGGCCCTCTTATCTAGAAATGCGTAAAAAGGCCTGGTTTAGGAAGGTTACCTTAGGCACTCCAAAACAAATAACAAATTAATTGCAAATAACAAATTAATTGCGTTGAAGTGGGTGTCGCGGCTCAAACACAATATCCATCGAAAAAGCTTGATTCATCTCACAGTATAGGTAGAAACAACTAATTGACGTAAAAAAAGAAAAACACGTTTTGAAGCGCACTGACACCAAAAGCATTTTGAATTTTTAGGAAGAATAACGCTTTTCATTTTGAACTGCGCTGGGTATATCGTGTTGTGGATATTTCATACTTTGTTACTGTAACCTTAAATAAATTCTCTCTTCAAAAAAGCTGCATTTATTTTATAGATGCCCCTTTTAGTCACTTCTATACATGTGGCTAATTCCGTCTCTTCATAAATACCGTTTTTAAAGCGTATACAGTCGTCCATTCCAAATGCGCTGGACAGTGGTTTTATGGCCTTTGTGTTTGTGTTCTCCTGATGCTACTCCATCGTACGAAGACGATGTGAAGGGTATCGGGTCATCAGTGGATTACGAAGGATACAACATTGCATCGGAAATTCTTAGAAAATCCATAAATTTTTCGGTTCGTTGTTATACCTGCCTTCAAGATTTAATTAAAATGCACTTCAGGTCGAACCATGCGAGGATTTCTATGAATTTACCTGTGGTAACTGGATAGCTAGCCATCCGACTCCCAAAGACAAAGTTAGCTACAATCATGATGAGATCCTTCAGGACAGAGTGCAGGAGCAATTAAGAGGTTAACGAGAGACGAGATTTAAGTGCTACCCAATCGTCTTCCTTGTGCAGCAAAAAGCTGTTATTGGCCTTAACACCACTGCAGAATCTATAACTAAATGCCCTTTTCTAGAATTTTGTGCAAAGGTGTTAGGCAGCATCGCACTTTCACGCGCTAAGATACGAAGATGCCTCTGAGTTCGTACGTTAACGTATATGGATTGACATTGTAAATCATGGATTGGGTAGCTTTGAAAATGGAAGACAAGAAAATGAAAAATTTCAAAGGTTGACATAAGTTACTTAAATACACAAAACGCTAAAAATGAAACAAGAAAACCTAATGATCTAAGTTTTTCTTTGCGAAAGATCTTGTCACCTTACTTCAATCCACATGTCAATCAATTCAAATAAGGTCACAAAAAATTTTTTTTGGAAAGGAGTAGGGCAAAGCAAGAATAAATAGATTATGGCCAGCAATGGAAATGGTCTCAATTTTATAAATGAGGTAGAGTGCAGTGGTGAAACCTGCCGAAGTAAGTCTGGACATAAGGGATCGTTCAGACCGCGCACAAAGGCGTACAGAGGCGCATGAAGGCGCACGAAGGCGCAAGAAGACGCACGAAGGCGTGTGTGAGTGTGTGTGTGTCGAGATAAACGAGACGAGACGAGACGCGCCTTCGTGCGCCTTTGTGCGCCTTCGTGCGCCTTTATGCGACTTTGTGCGCGGTCTAAACGATCCCTAAGTTCAAGCTGGATACAAGAACTACCTGCGTTATCAAATTTTGAATGTCTCTTTCTTTCCTGTACAGTTCCTTAGTAGAGCATCTCGCTCAACAAATCTAGAAACCACGACGCTTTTGCAGTAATTTTTGCAGCTCCCAACTCCCGATGTGTTAACATGCTTACTTACCCCTCTTTCCAAGCCCCAGACCCTTAGCTCGAACTTTGCAAAAAATCGATAAACTTGACAGAAGTAATCGATATTTTGGAAAATGATATCTTCGTAATTAGCATGCCCGACCTCCCTCTGCCAACTCCCAGCCTACCAAACTTAGATCGAACTTTACAAAGAATTGGTAAAGATCGATGAAATCGACATCGATCGATGACGAAAAGTAGCTTACGACACCCGCCCGGCCCCGAAGTGCATGAGTGCCAAGTTTGGTTCGGATCGGTTCAGTGGAATTTTTCTATGCGGAACATACGTACAGACATACAGACATACAGACGTACAGACATTCAGCTTCATATATTAGACCCTACGGGTCGCTAGTCTAATATAGCACTAATGTAGCTAGCAAGCGGGTTGGGGAACCCATAGATAAATACTGTTTCGAACCTATAATTTTCGCAAATGAGTTTGCAATTTATCAGTATACTAACTGGCTTACCCGGCTCCGCCCGGCCCTGTCAAACACTGTAATATAGGTCCCATCCCTATCTCTGTACAGCCTTTCCCTGTGCATACTTCTACATGCAATTCCCTATTTCCGCTGTGTTAGTAATCAGCATGCTCACCTGTCTCCGTCAACAACCCCCAGCCCCGTAGCTCAAACTTTGCAAAAATCAATAAAATCGATAAAAGTAAGGGTAATTCTAAAAACTGATGGCGCTATTCGGCTATCCGGGCCCCAAAATGTTTTTGTGACGGATCTTGCTCAAACTCGGGATATGGGGGTTAGCCGCTGGCAAATATCATAGTTATTTCGAGTGGCAGAGGGATAAAAATCATGAACCTGCCTGAAACCTTGGCAGGGAATTACCTAAAGTGTTGTTTCAAGAATATCGTGCTTAATTCCCACGATAAAGGCAATTCGTATGGTATAAAAGTTTCCCACGACCGTAATGCTTTCCTTATAGGACCCTGCCGCGCGCGATACAGGGCCCGGCACGAGGTTGTCAAAAGGGGTTTTCGAAAACAAATTATCCTTTGACCCAAAAACTGACCCCAGTGATTGCGCAGTGAACACACAACAACACAGTTTTTATTAGAGAAAAAACAAAAACAATTCATTCATAACAAAAAAAAAACAAGTGAAATCATGTTAAAGATCAGATCTCTGGAGTGAAATCAATAAAAGATAACTTGCACCGGCAGCTAGAAGGGGGGACGCGAGGGGATGGGAAGGGGGGGGGGGAAATTCGTACCATTCATATGCTCACAATTTCTGAAACCTTTCACTTTCAAATACTTGAGTTCCACACATACTAATCACCTCCCGTCTTCTCATTCTTAAAGGCAGTGTCTCACCAAAGTTGAGGTCGCGCGGATCTTCACATATTCTATTATAGGGACCTCTAAATAGGCCAATGCAACAAGTCCCACTCAATTTGACCCCCTCCACGCTGAGAAAAATTCGCTCAAAGTAGTACGCGGAGAGCGACTTGGTACGCGCGGACGACTCCATCGGTCTTCCCCTTACGCGTTTGAACATGTCCCTCTACTTGGCATCCACCTCCCCTCTGTTGCTGCCACTGTGGCTGAGCCTGAAGTTGGAAGGTACAACTCGTCCACGTTACTTCCACGGGGCCTCCAGAAAACGGGGTTTTTGGGAACTTTGTGCGATTCTAAGCCCGTACAGTGCTAGACAGGGTCCGACAGGCTTGCAAAATGCAAAAATCTCAGCAACTAATTTTGGTGAGACACTGCCTTTAAGTACTCTACTAATCCCACAAACATACCACTAACACTCCACGTCGATTAAAGGCAGCGGCTCGGCAGCTTTTCAATTTCAGGATTTTGGCAGATTTAGGGCTATTCCGGTCCTCTGAATCACGACATGAACTCCCCTTAGCGCGAAAATAGGGAATACCCCGTCTTTTGAAACCCCCTTGAGACGGGCGCGGACGAGTGAAAAGTTTTTCTGCCGTCAGAGACGCAGAGTAAGGAGGTAGAGAGCGCTAGAACAATTCTGACCACGGAGCTACGAGTGACGGAGCGTTTTCTGGCGGAGAACATACTTGTCTGATTAAGGTGTTAGGGGAGCGAAAGGAGAAAGGAGAGTGGCGGTTGGGTTGCCCACTGGTATGCAGAGTTCAAATTTTCGGCCCGAAGTTGCTGTTTTGGTTCACTTGAAAGGCCTCCTATCCATCTGAGTCAAAATCTGAGGGGTAGGTTCATTTTGCCGAGACGCTGCCTTTAAAGGACTCAGCGATACGCCGTTATCGATTGAAGCGCGCTTTCCTCCGTAGGAAACGGGGTTGCTGAAGCTATTTTTGGCTCTAGCAATGAGGAGAGGAGGAAGTTTGAAACCAAAATTTCATGATATACTAACCTTTAGATGTAGAGTAGATTTGTGTATGAATTTTGAAAAATTTATGTGAATTGAAAGTTTTGACAACCTCAGGTTGTCATTAGGCTGTCAAATGACGACCTAATCTGGAAATAAGTTGAGCAGGCTCTTCATTCACATAATTTTTTCATAATTTTTCATACTTTGTTACTTAGTCCTACTGCGCATATACACACCAAGTCCCGAGCGATTTCGTCGCCTCTGCGTTGCAAACGAGCCATTTTCCGTTTCTTTGCTAGCGGGAATTTCCAGAAAGATGTTTGCCACGACCTTCAGTCACATAATATTTCATTGAAACTTCTCAGTTAAGCCCTACAGGCCATTGTGCATGTGAACTCCAAGTTTCATACTATATCGTCATCTGCGCGTTGCAAACGAGCCATTTGAATTCACATCTTCATTTACCAATTTTGCAAAATTTTCGGAAAAATGCTTATTATTCGTTCCGTTCACATAAGTTTCTCACAATTTTTCATACTTTGTTACCACTAACCTCTCTCCGTTCGCTTACAAAATTTGGTGCCATATCGTTATGCATACATTGAGAACTAGTAATGTATGCTGTTACAAATAGCATCATTTGAGCGACGTCGCGCACGCGGCAATTAGCGACGGCAAGGTTTAACGCGCGCGAGCCCCAGTTCGCCTGTTGAGGCACATAACATGTTAAGATAAGCAGAGAGCAGAAACTACCAATTTTTTCGGCGGACCCGCAAAAACGATTTCCCCTTTGCTTTTTGCCGAAAACGAATTCCAGCTTGCCATTTGACAACCTCGTGCCGGGCCCTGACGCGATACACCCTTCGGCGGCTTTTGCCTAGGCAAAAACAGGAAAGGGATATTTGCCGCGTGCGTTACGCGTTGGGACAGGTTATCAGGATGGCGCTGGAGACCGCCATGCAAAGGACCTTTCCCCATTTCGTGAATATCTGGGATCTAAATGTGCCTGCAAGCAAAAAATGTCCAATCAAACCCTGCAGCTCACCGTAACTTCACAATAATGCGGTTGACAACGAGCAAGCATCATATAAGCAGTATGCTTGTAAACCGTTACAGGTAAAGTTTTGAGCAAGTCTGGAATTCCGACTCACCTACTGTACACCAACCGTAACACAAGGAAATGCGCTATCCTGCGAAATCAGCATGATATTCATGTTGAATGACCACCCTAGACGAAGTTCAAAGCAAATCTATGTTTTCGATCCCATTCCTAACCATTAGCTCTGTGAAAAAGTCCCAATATGCAGAGGGAGTACAAAATTCGTAATCAGCATGTCGAATAAGTTCTCCGGACCGAACTCCAGCCGAACTCATGACTTTGACTTCCTACCGTACACCAATCGTAACCACACGGGGAGACGTTCTGCGAAAAAAGTGTGATGTCTGTAATCACCATGTAAGATAACCCTTATACACGAAGTCTGAGCAAGCTCCACGGCAAAGTAATTTTGGGGCCTGGATAGTCGAATAGCGCCAAACTAATAATGTACTCGTAATCAGCATGCTCGATTACCCCCCTGTGCCAACTCCCAGCCGCGTAGCTCAAACTTTGCAAAAAATCGATAAAATCGATAAAAGTGATGGATAATTCCATAAACTAATATTGTATTCGTAATCAGCATACTCGATTACTTCCCTGTGCCAATTGCAGTCCCGTAGGCGAACTCTGCGAAAAAATTGCTGAAGTTAATAAAATCGATATCGATCGATGACGAAGATGAAAGAAGCCTATGACACCCGCCCCGCCCCAAAGTGTATGTGTGCCAAGTTTGGTCCCGATCGGTTCAGAAATGGAATTTTCTATTCGGAGCATGCGTACATACCTACATACATACAGACAGACATACAAACAGACATTCAGCTTTATATAAAATGTGATGCAGCAACCGCTCAAAAGCAAGATTTTCGGAGATTTTCTCAAAATAGTTTATAGTTAAATAGTAATACAGTTTCCTTGCACAATGTCATTTTCGCACTTACGCTCACGTATTTGCTCACGAAACCTAGTTTTTCGGAGGTTTTCTCAAAATTCGGGCGGAAAGTGGATCATATCGTTCTAATAAATGTTTTGTCCTGATCATCGCTATACAGTTTTTTTTTTCTTGATGTGGTAAGCATGCTTACATATTGGAAAGAAAAAAGGAATTAAAGCAAAGCAATCCCTCTCAAGAGCAAGATTTTCGGGGATTTTTCCAAAATTTGACAGAGAAGTGGAAAATAGTTCCAAAAATAGCTCAATGACACGAATGGGAAGAGCTTGAGAAACGAACGAAAGCATAATGAATACAGAGATTGGATATGGAAGGATCAATAATGGTATGCTTCCATTCCTGTCCTTAGTAACGACCACATCTCGCATATTTCAACACCCTTGGCAAGCGCTTGCGTATTTCAACACATCTATTGCAGCAGCAAAGCGCACCGTGCGTGTCGTGATCTCTCGTTTGGGCGCTGTTCTGTGCGTGGCATCTACTCAGCCACTGGGACGGTGAGCCGCGGCCTCAAAAGGCCTTTCCGGCCCGTCCGCGGCCTTAAGTGGGCATGGCCGGAGTGCGGCCGAGCACGGACCTTAATTCATGTCAGTATCATTGCACCGGCCGAGCTGCGGACTGAATATGGCTTACCGGCTCAGCCGCGGCCTTAATGATGGGGGTGGAGCATTGCAACGGCTGAGCCGCGGACCAAAATTTCTATAATGATACTCCGGCTGAGCCGCGGCCCATGTCAGATAAGGTCCGCGACTCGGCCGCTCCCAGACCTGAGCATAAAGAATACTTGCGTGATATACGATGCGTGGTCAGGCTGCCCTCAATGTCCATAGCCTTCGATGTCTTTTCTGTCTCCAAAGCGGGAACAAGATCAATATTTTGTACGACCTTGGATAGCAACTTGTGTTGTCCAATGTTGAAGTCGAACTTGGTTTCCGAAGTCGTCATATCAGTGACTTTGATTTTTGTCTTTTTTACTGTGTATATTCTATGTGTCAGTGGATAAAAAAACAGTTCTACTGCATCCGAGCTAGAATGAACTAGACGGCCCGACAACCAGCTCCGGCTGAGCCGCGGCCTAAAAGCGGACGAGCCGAGGCTGTTTTCCGGCCGAGCCGCGGCCCAACTCCGGCCGGGCCGACGCTGCGAAAATCCAGCCGGAAAAGGTCCGAGGTTCGGCCGCTCCCAGTGTCTGAGAAAGCAAAGGTTCATGCCATACACGTGAGCGGACCAATCTAGCCGACGCTTTTTTTGGGGTCGGGTTCATATGTATCATATATAGGAGAAGATTGCTGAGTCAAATCAAATGAGTTAACCTCTAGCAAAATTCACGCAAGGTTTTGGATCACTGTGTCATGGTCTAGGTTGCTAACGGTTATGCTACTTTTCGCTCATACCTCAAAAGTCCTCGCCATTCACTAGTTTCCGAAAAATCGCATGAAAGTCTAAATTGTTTACAATCTGCACAGTTTCTGTGCGTTTTACACATTACGTTCTGCATACTGGCAAAGTTTGAGCGCCAAGTCCAGTGAGAGTGAAGTTATGGAAGCAGTCGCGAAACTTAGTTTCCAACTAATAAAATTTCGAGTATTAGGCAACTTCAGGCCCATCACCCAAGAAATGTTTGCAGCCCTGCTCCTTAGGGTACCTTTATACCGCGCCGGCAGCCGCCGCTAGCAGCCCGTAGCAGCCGCTGGCAGCCCGTAGCAGCCCGTAGCAGCCCGCAGCAGCCGCCAGCAGCTCGTAGCCCCCGCTGGCCATTTTGTCATAGAAGTGCAAAATCACCAAATTCTCACTACTTTGAGTGCGCCCGCACCGCTTTCTCTCTTCCACGCTTCTTTCCTCCTATTGCCGCTAATGAGCAGTTCCGCACTCACACATTACGGAGATATTCAAGATAAGCACCGGCCAAGGATATGATTGAAGCACAACCATACTTAAAGGCAGTTGCTCGGCAAATCTCAACCTAGTGAAATTTTCGCTTATCTAGGGTTATTCATTACGCTGATCCCGAAAATGCACTTTTGAGACTTAAAAACGGCGAAAACAAGCGTTTCTTAATGCCCTTCCTTTTGAAATTGGACGAGTGGAGCAATGATGACTTGAATCGTTGCAGGACCCAATGGTTATAGCATTGCGGCGGGCAGCCTCCAATGGTGAGTTTGCCAACTCGTCCGGATGCGTGTAAGATTAGTCTGCGCGTCTAAGTTTGAGAGTAATTTTCTCAGCAGGGAAGGCATGTTGTGCAACCGGGATTGCACTCTTTTCAAACTTGGGCGATAAGGAACCCACCGCGTTGAAATCCTGAGTTGTTGAGTTTTGCCGACCCACTGCCTCTAAGAAATGACCGCGATGAAACTTCGGTAAAATATGGTTCAATTGTGAAAGGGAAACTGAGCACCAATAGGATAACTAATCTATGGCAACAAGATTTTAACAACAATGGACACAAATATATGATATATGAGATCGCATTGTGACAACGGGAAGTAAAAAGCGTGGAAGATGGAAAGCGTGGGCATTTGCACTTAGAATACTAAAACTTTGATGATTTTGCGCTTCTATGACAAAAGCGGCCAGCGGCGGCTACGGGCTGCTACGGGCTGCCAGCGGCTGCTACGGGCTGCTATGGGCTGCTAACGGCTGCTACGGGCTGCTAACGGCTGCTACGGGCTGCTAGCGGCGGCTGCCAGCGCGGTATGAAGGCACCCTTAGGCTCAAAGTGTACCTGACGATGGAGGTATAGCGGGTGATAGCGAATCGCTTATGTATGCGCTGCCTTTAGCTGATCGTAGCTGCTGCGCTGGGTACGCTCTGGGTGCAAGAACGAAGTAGCTTTACCCATTACTACGTTTAGTTTAAGCCATTAAGGAAACTAATTCTTGACAATTACCAAAATTGAAAAAACTGATTACATGAAATCCAGAAGAGTCGTAATTTTCATCAAAAATTCTTTTATAACAAGCATGAAATGGCAAATCAAATGTTGCATATCTTGAGAAAACTCTAATCATCTGACAAATATCAAGCGAGTGTCACAGTAGGACATTGATGTGTGCTTGAAGCAACATCTAAACTATCTAGGTCATAGCAGCCGTAATGTGTTAAGGTGTACTAGTAATATTCCACTTAATCGTTGAAATCTCTAGCTTTTCATCGTTACTCCAATTTGACTATGCAGTTGTTCAGATTTTATTCTTTGTACTTTGCCAATTCTTTATCGATTTTCTTATCGATGCATTTGCGTTTCGGTCTTGGAAACTTGCCATAATTCACCAGTACCGAAACAAGTGCTCTAGAAATCCTTCAGAAGTTCAAAAATATGTTGAAACGGGGCAAATCCGAGCAAAATGAGCGTTAGCAGCTTGAAGCAGCTGAGGGAAGCTCATCAAAAGTGAGCTTCATATCGCGTAGCAGCGAGGAGCAGCTACGAGCAGCAGCGAGCAACAGGAAGCAGCGCAGCATCGCTTGCTTAGCGTGTCTGTTTCGCGTTGGCTGCAGCAGCTAGGAGCAGCAGCGTCGCCTGGCGTCAATCGATACGCACAAAAGGCGTTGCTGCTGGCAGCGTCTTATCGTCAGTTATAGCCACCCATCGTCAGGTATATCTCAAGCCTTACCAACGAACCTTATCCCTTAGCTATTGTTGATACACATACATACTTCCGGATTGCATCTCCCCTCACAATTACCCTTGGTTTTTTTACCCCACATCCTCGTCTACTGGAGACGTCGCAAGCGCTTAATTGCTCCTCAGTGCCCTCTAAAAAAAGCGTTTTCCCACCCTCCAACAAGCGCGTGAGTTCAAAATCCTCGAGATGAACAAAAGGCTTGTTTACAGCTGAGAGCGAATGATATGACACCAATTTGGTCTAGATGTACTTTGAGGAGATTGTCAAAGACGAAAAATCATGTGGGTGCAAGCTTTACCTTTGATTCAGATGGCTTTCGAGCTATCTAGAGAGCCACCTGAGGTGGCTCAGCGTCTTGAATTTTCCTCTCTTCAATTATTTTACAAAGTATTTACATAACTTCAATCTGCTCCCAAAACTCTACAAACTAGCTTTTGTAGCTTCTCAAACCCATTCCCGCCTAGCTACAGCGATTTAAAGATTCTACATGGTGGCGCCAAATCTGCTTCAGGCGCAGTGGTTCGTGCAAAACATACCGCCAATGCAGAGAATACGAACATTACCAGTTGTTTTTATCGCCGATTTCGGTTGTTCTTACTTTTGTGTCTACCTTCTTGTTCCTATTTGTTTCATTCAAGAGGGGCGAACATGGACTTCGTTTCCGAAAAAAAAGGAAAGAGCCACCTTTTCTGGGCCTGCTCCCAGCGCATGAAGAAAGAGGCTTCAGTGAAAACTTTAACAGATGCTAGACGGTGGTGGCACTTGCTCAGCTCCGCTGGGTGACTCCACTAGAAAGTGCATGCAGTACTTTACATCCATGAAGCTTTTTGCGCGTGCGTGCGTGTGCGTGCAAAGCTTTTTGCGTACTTTACTGAAACATGAGGTCATTGCGAGTAGAAGTGACTTTGACATAAACGTATTCTGCAGCATCCTCGGTAGAATAGATCTGTGTCTTCAGTCTCAACTTATAGAATCTCGCCCAAACACATGTTAAGGTCTGTACGAATCAAACGACACCTTTGAATCAAAAGCTGTTAATGCTTTAAAAACCTTCTACAAAAAATGCATGGATGAGGATGAATTGAACCGTGTCGGTGCTAAGCGACTGATAGAGGACGTCAAGGTAAGCCGCATAGCTTCTCTTGCACAACATCTTTCAAGTGGAGTGCTTTAGAGTTTCGGTGTTTGGCCGGCTTTACAAGGAGACGATAACTGGAAAGAGGAGAATTACAACTTGACTTCGCTGCTAATCCACGTATATCTTCGCCGTAAAACCTCTGTATTCGTCAGTTTTGATAAAAGTAGAGATAACACGAAAATTCGACATCTTCTCCAGGTTTGCGGTTTATCTTGTCGTTTTCTATTAACTTACAAGCCACACAACGCAAGCTCACTCCTTGCGAGGCGTATTTTTGAAAAAAGGTACAACAAAATCCTGCGCTGTCCCACATATACACTTCACTAAATTTTTTGACATTGAAATGTCTTTGAAAAGCTACAAAATTCTTGAAAAATTATTTCTCAAACTAAAGTAATTTGAAGTTCATTAGAATATGACTACTAAAACAAGCCATTGTTATTTTATTTACTTTTTAAGAGCCCAACATTTTGAGAGGTATGGAAAGTGCTTGGAAGAGAGAGGAAAAGAGATTAGTCACGTCCTTAGACATTCTTACTGAAAATCTTTCACTGGTCATTTTGCTTGTACACACCTATTATCATCTAAAAAACGAAGATTTCGCGACTCTCGAAGGAGAGGGCAGGGAGCGTACGCTTTCGCCTCCTATACAGTCGCGAGATTGTTTGTTTCGACTTTGCAGCACTACGTTGAAAATAGTAAGAAATTAAGTCACAATTACATGTTTTCTTCTGCATCTAATTCAGCTACATACAATACCACTCTCAGAAGTGCAAAATTTCCGGAAAAGTCCGCTACATTTCCGGAATTCCACGAATTCCCGAAATTTCGCGGAATTCCGAGAATGTCGCGGACTTCCGCGGAAATTTTGCACATTCTGGGTGTGGTATTGTAGTATCGGTTTGGCTTCTTCCTTTTTCTTAGAACCAAAAATAGATTCACCATTTTTCTCGAGGAAAACAGCGCGGTTTTGTTGTCCATTGCGTGCAATTAGGCGCACAAAAAGGGTCGAAAAATCTGATGTAGTGTGCCACTATAGGGCAACTGTAACACTGGGAGCTCACAACACGTCGCTACGAACGTTTATTGCAAGACTGCCAAAGCTTCCCTGACCTCTGCTGACCCTAACACTTGTTTGGCCATTTGCTGTTTAGGTGGCCGAACCCGTATTATCAATTAACTGCAGTAAAGCGGCGGGTACGGGTTGACAGGGGTCAGCGGGGTGTAAGCTTTGGCAGTCCTGCAATAAACGTTCGTAGCGACGTGTTGTGAGCTCCCAGCGTTATAGTTGCCCTATAGTGGCACAATTTTGCAAAGCACTTGCGTTCAAAATCCACTCAAGATAGAACGTTTTTTGCTGCTGCTTTCGCAGAGCAAGTAGTGGCTCAGTAATTTGGCCGATGCACCAGAGTTGTGATAAGTAGCTCCTAACCTCATGCTTTTTTCATGATTATCCCGCTTTCGAAAAAAATCGAAACTGTACGTCATTGCGAGGTAATCCGAACATTGCTAATCTCATCTTCATTTCTCAGATGTGATCGGCTGTAGGGTACCTCTGCCCTATCAGGACAAAAATGGAGTGATGGGCATCTGTATAGTCACGATTTTGCGTCAAGTCTACTCTTATAAGAGTGATAGGCCCTATCTGCAATCTCTTTGCCCACTTCGATGACACACTTCTGCAGCGTGACCCCCTTCCCCTAGCGCTGAAAGCGAGCAAACTTTAGCTAATTTGTCGACTTGTCCGGACTAAGTCGGCATCATACGGCTTTTCGCGTTTTTCTCTTGGCTTGTCTATTTATTTGCACTTTACCGTTGGGAAAGTTTTTGCATCATATTTGTCAACATTCTGAAGAATGTGCACTAGCAGAAATTAGTGAAGAGAAATGATCAGATGCAAATGTTGAATTTGTGGCGCCGGTTGCAGGCAAAACACATCAAGGTTCTAAAGGTAATCCTCTATGAGCAACGTCTATGCATGACAAGACTATCCGGAATAATCGCTCAAAATTCGTGTGTTATTTCCCTACGGTCCAGTTGATTCCTAGTGTTAACACATTGACGACAATACGACCCACCGGTGGGTCGTACGTGTCCTGCCATTTCGGACAATACGACCCACCGGTGGGTCGTAAGATTCATGAAGCGCTATCTTTGCCAGTTTACGACGGAATTCTACGGGGTTCTGGCACATGATCGGGGGCACTTAGGTGAAGCTCCAGCTAGAGTGGTCCAGGCTCGGGATACTGTAATGTAATGTTACGGTTGGTATACGGTAGACATCATAAGGCACAAGCTTTAGCTCAAATTCTTCGTAAAATGATGTTTCTGGAGAATCAAGTTTACATATAAGAGTAATACGGGGCGGGCAAGAGGGTGACGTTAATCCACCAAAAAATTATCGATTTTATTGATTTTATTGATTTTTTGCATTTTTCGTCCTAGGAAGCTCGCACTTTGCATATATAGGTTTTGTAGCATGCTGATTACGAAAATGATAGTTTCAAGTTTTGATACCACCTTCTAACATCAGTTTCTTGATTTTTACGAAAATTCTACCGTACTGCTACCGTAGTCTCACCGTGAGAAGTTAGTGAACAAATGGACACTATAATCGTGATCAGCACGTGAAATAACCCCAATACACAAATTTTTATGAAAATCCATGATGTTGGGTTCGTACAGAATGGCTACCGTAACCTTACCGTATAACGCTAAAAACTGAAATAAATCATATTTTGGTAATCAGCGCGTTCGATAACCCTTGTGGGGAAATTCTCGGAGACATGTTCTGAATTTCTTACAAAAAGACTACCATTTCGGACAATACCACCCACGGGTGGGTCGTAAGTTTGGCAGAGCAAAAAAGGCTCTTGTCCGAAATGGCGGTTATCGAAAAATCGGCCTTGTCGTCAATGTGTTAAGCCACTTTTGGATCCAGCACACACATAGAGCGGAAATACGTAGAAGCTCGAAGCAGAGTTTATATAAGGTCGGTGCAAGAGTCTTTTTGTTTTCTTGCACTCATCCAAAAATCCAGCAAAGTAGAAGTAAACAAGTACTTCAAACTGTATTCTGCAGAATTCCTTCTTCGTTTCCTCGTGAGACTCTTTCGAAGAGCGCCGAGATAATTGTCAAAGCTTGTGACCCTTCATTTTTACCTTGTCTGATTTTCGCTGATTTTCAGAACCTTTAGAGGTTTTGAAGGTGTTCTGACAGTTGATGAGACAAATAATTTGCAATTTGATACAGCTTTTTGAAATCAGTCCATTTCTAGCTCGAAAATCATATAATGGGGCATAGTATAGTATGTGCGCCGGCCACATTCTTATAGGTACCTCCGCGGCGCGCACGCAGCGCAGCTTGTGCTGCGGCGGGGCCTTCTGCTCTAAGCCTTCGTGTGCGATTTTCTTGTTAATCCCTTGATTGGTGTAGCTGCTCTGTATCTATTGTTCCAAGTGTAGGTCATCCATATATGGCTCATGACTGAAAATGAAAATATTGCTATTGAATAGATTAGGTCATTCCGAAAGTAAGGTCGCTTTTTCCAAACGTACGCCATATCTCGTGGAACAAAGATATGTAAGAGATTCAGGTAGCATTGATGCAGCATTTCATTCTCTTTCTGGTTATATAACCACTGCACAAAATCCACTACCTCTCGAAAAAATTATCAGAATCTGCGACCCATGCTTTTTGAGAAGGCCAAGTTTCAAAAATTTCCCAAACTTTCACAATAACCTTCGGAAGGAGTCCATGTAATGGATGGATGGAGCACGAATGCACTCTACAAGAAACAGCACAACTTTTTTCTACTTTCCAAAGCTCATTATAATTTTTGTATAGATTTTTCGATGGAACCACCAAATTTTAGCAACCTCGTCTCAAACATAAATGCATCAAACACCACTAAATCTTCGAATTTTGAACTTAGTTTCTATTTGTTTCTATTACAAAGATGGGTTATGGTTTGACACTAATTTTACAAAGTAAATGAGCATTTATCGCTTCAGATTAGAACTTTCGAAAACTCCAGATACAGCCTGGGGCGCCTTGGAAAACCTGAATTATGATAATTTTGTTCCGGAAAACTTGATGAATCGGAAACAAAAAACGACCGTTAGAAAGAGAAAAAGCTGCTTCGAATGACACCCAGTTGCTTGCCGGTTGTTGTTCTGTGTGGTTTGTGACGAAATATGGAATTTAATGGCATTGGAAATTGATACCAGAAACTCTAAGTAGCAATCTAAGGAAAAGAAAAAAATTATTCTGTGTCCTACAAAGTTTGCTCTATCTATCTATCATTTGCGCTTCTTCGGAGAATCCTCTCCTATAATATAAACCCGATGCCAAAAAACGAGACGGCGAGGATGGTCCGCCCACATGTATGCTTCAACGGGTGTTTTGAATAGACGCCAGTTGCCGAACGGGGCCTTATTGTGTAGAGACGCGACGGTGCGATCATGAGGTCAAGAGGACGCAGAGGTCCTAGCGCGAACGAGAGGCCACGACACGCAGGGTACGCTCTGCTGCTGCAATGGATGTGTTGAAAGACGCAAGCGCGTGCCAAGGGTGTTGAAATTGCGAGCTTGGTCACTGTTGCAAAGTTAGTTATAGACGCATACCATTTGATCTGCTCACATCCGATTTCAGTATTCACCTTGCTTCCACTTTTCCGCCAAATTTTGAGAAAATCTTCGAAATTCTCGCTTTTGGGAGCTTTGGCTCTGGGTGAATTCGATTTTTCTTTCCAGATTGTAAGCGTGAGTGCGAGAGTGACGTTGCGAAAGGAAGCTGTACAGCGATGACTGGGGCAAAACAAAATTTTAGCACGATATGATCCACTTTCCGGCCAAATTTTGAGAAAATCTTCGAAATTCTCGCTTTTGAGAGCTTTTGCTCTGGGTGAATTCGATTTTTCCCTCCAGATTGTAAGCGTGAGTGCGAGAGTGACGTTGCGAAAGGAAGCTGTACAGCGATGACTGGGGCAAAACAAAATTTTAGCACGATATGATCCACTTTCCGGCCAAATTTTGAGGAAATCTTCGAAAATCTCGCTTTTGGGAGCTTTTGCTCTGGGTAAATTCGATTTTTCTTTCCAGATTGTAAGCGTGAGTGCGAGAGTGACGTTGCGAAAGGAAGCTGTACAGCGATGACTGGGGCAAAACAAAATTTTAGCACGATATGATCCACTTTCC